ATGTGAGTTTTTTTTCTTGTAAGAATTATTTATTTATTAAGTGTGTGTTGCTCTGGATGCTAGTTTTTATAAATAAACTTGAAATAAATTCATTAATATATTAATTGATACAGAATACCCTAGTAAAAAATTATACATTACAGTCTATATAATCTTATACAGGGGCGTGAACAGAGGTAAAATCTTCCACTCGCTCCGAACAATAAATTCATCGTTAATTATTGGTTTAATTTGCCAATTTTGGATCTGTATCAGTATTATTTCATTAATAATTACTTCACTACTGTAATTCACCAATAAATTCTTAAAATTAATATATATAATCTATGTGTTTGATACTTATTACAATATTTTATTAATACGGTAATAAACAAATATTGTATGCTAATTTTGAAACCTAACTTATAATATTAAATTTATAATTTAAGAAAATTATTTTGTTTTTTTTACTTAAAATAGTGGTCTAATAAAGGTGCAAATCAGATTATTCACCATTAATTTGGTTTATTTTTATTTTATTTTTTATTTTTAGATAACAATCTTAAATTTTATTGAAAGGTCAACTGCTTTATATTTGCATGACAGTTAAAAAATATCGAGTTTGATTATATGGATGAATGGTTTGAAAAAATAGATATTTTAAAGCGGCAAGACAATGCATAAAAACTTTGATAAATTATCTAGTATTTTTTTCTTTGCTTTTTTTTTATTTTATATAATTTAATTAAAATTTCCAGATATCCTTTGAATCTAATACTTTAAACCATTTTCTATTTGGAAATTGTTGAAACAGAAAATTTACTAACTTTGATAATGACTTGGATCTGTAAACCAACAAATTGCTGAAGCACAAAGATTATATTAATTATTTTATGTATAGTACATACTGCTGACGAAGCGAAAATTTAAGCCTTCCACGATCAACCTGTATAAATTAACTTATACTTCTGTACTTGCTACATTTTTACGATAAAATGACAATATCGTAAAACATAACTGATAACTAACAGTGTTCAAACAAATATTATTAGCCTCAAAGCAAAATTTTGAGTTTATTTGTCAAATCAGAGATGACATTTATATATGTCCAATCAAGAAATTAAGGCTTCCGCAATTCTGCTTTGATTAATAGTTTATTATCTATTTACATTCAGAAATTTAAGAATTTAAAAATTTCAAACTACTCAAATTATTCAAGAATGGATAATCTATTATGAGTTAGACAACGATTTTTTAGATACCAAAGAAACTTTACTGGCAAGAAAAATTCAAAAACAAAATTGATTTTGGATTAAATTTGGTTTCTGTATCGTATGTAGGTAGATGAGCTTTTTTTATAACAAACTAAATTTGCTTTCAGAAATATCAATTGTGATATTAAATTTTATGTATTTTAATAATTATAGGGTAGATTAAAGGTCAAATTACTACCTGTTATAATAATATAAAATACAGTATCGATATCATAAATTGATCCCATAAAGCAGGCAGAATTTATGATCTGTCGTAGTGTAACCATTTCTTTATAAAGGACGGTACCACTTATTTGAAATTCTGGGCTTTATATAACGATAACCCTTACCGTTACATAATCCGTCAATCTCAGTTCTAACATGTCAATACAAACACTCGATCATTCCATGCAAGTTTCAATTGTGTTTATCCATTTTTTTTTAAAAACAAAAAATAATTTAAAATAATATTTTTATTATTCAGGACCCTTATTATTCCTTTTCCAACCCCACGTCTTGCAACAATAGCACAATTAGTCTTAAATGTTGATAAAGAATTAAAAAGCGATCAAGTTAAAAGAATTATTAGTACGAATGATGTTAATCTTATAGTGTAAGTGTACACAATATTTTTTAGATAACTTTAAGTAAGGTAAAATGGAGCAGCCTGCTGACCGGTTATGAAAACCAATATTAATATTTCTTAATTTATATTATACAGACAATTTAATTGTTCCAATGTAAAAATGTTACGCGTTTCTGTGAATTCTTTATTGGAAATGCTAATTATGATAACTAAAACTATCGACGCTTTTGATGGAATGGAATAAAAAATATATATATACTGTTATCCAGACAAAATAAACCAGATATTATTGTATTTAAATTATGTAATTTAAATATTAAATAATAAAATTTTCATGTTATTATATATCGCGTGCATAAGTTATATCTCAAATACCAACATCCTATGTTAAATCTGCTATTAAGCATTTTGTAGCATTAATGAAGTTTTTTATGGGTAAAGCTAATTTCCAATCAATGTGGCCACCACCAATATAAAATATCGGAGGTTTTAATTCAGTTATAGATTTGGAAATAATTATTGGGATTTTTTTATTCATACCTAAGATTATAATCAAAACCTGACAAGATTAATAACATAGTACGGGAATATAATTAATTAACAAATAACTCACCAATAGGTGATACGCCATTATTCTCAAATCCAGTCAATTCAATCGATTTCTAAAAAATATTCGAAATATTTTAATAACTTATAGGTAAATTGAATTTTTAAATTCTAAAATACCTCTGCATCAGCGACACGAAAATTATAATTCTTTTTACTAATAGATTTGTTCTTTAAACCGCGAACAAAATTCATTAATTTTTGAGTATTAATGGATCCAATATACTATTGTATTAAGATTTTTTTAATTGCCTGTCGGAGAAACTTTAAAGTTGGAACAATAAAATATGCTAATTCACCTGAACGATTACACAATAATATTTTGAATTTAATGGATCTTTAATATGTTAAAAAATGGTTAAATACGAGCTTATAACATATATAACATCCCATTCTAACAATCTTCTACTATACCATCAATATTATCATGTATGCATCTTGTATTTTCAAAGATGACACTTTTACAAAGATGATCAATTGACGGTGCAACTAATCGAAATCTTATATAAAAAAAAATAGACAAATGAATATTTAAACAAGATATCACTATAGTTTTAATTTTACTCACGCGCGTCTCTGAAGTTCCCATTCATAATAATCACTTTCTACTTTATAAAATCTTGAAATGGTTCTTATACCTAATTCATTACATGCTTTCTCAACCTATTCCATCCAAACAATTTATTAATTTAAAAATAAAATTATTAAACATCAATAATAATTCTAAATTACTGTTTTAACAACTTCTGGTGTATTCTCATCTAATTTAGTATTTTTTGCTTTATGCGTAAAATATTCCAGATAATATGGTTCAAGTTTCGGTGAAGAATAAAGTATTGATATTTGTTTTGTTAATGATTGCAGTGTATCTTCCATTATTAACACAAATTTATAGCAATATTAACGATAATGTAAAAAAAAAAAAAAATAGAGAATTGTAAATCCGCTTTGAAAATCGTGTAACTTGATAATCAATTTTTTAAATAGGCATAGGTAACGAACGCTTCCCTTGTTTCAAGGCCTACTGACCCTGTAGGAAGAGTCCTTGGAAATTATCAGATAAAGTTCGGAAAGAAGTTTTTTTTTTATATAGTAAATTGGCTACAAACCTCTTTCGCATAGGAGATTGGTTGTTTGTGAATAGAAGTATAATTGGTCCAATAAAATACAATTTATAATTTTTTATATTAAACCTAAAATTGGCTTTTCTTCAGGTCGAATAATACTCCCTGTAAACACCTTCCCAATCGATGAGATACATCTCTACGTAGTGATTGAGACAAGTAGGAGAGATATTCTCTGAAACTAAGTATCTTTGCACTTCGCTTAAGATTATATTTTATTATTATTAATTGTGGGGGCTGAAGCTGAAAATTAGAGGTCTCGATTCGAAACTATATAAACCCTATTAAAATCCACTTATACTTTTTTACTATTACCCTAACCCTAAAGTCTAACCTAACTATTAAAAAACAACTAAAAAAATGCACCCCCAAAAAAATTCTAAAATTCATATTAAAATAAAAATTTTCAGCTTCATCCCCCACAGTATATGATCATAACATGAAAATTTAAATCAGACCCGGCTGGCCAGCTTTTTTTTTTATTAAAAAAAAACATTATATATATAAAAATTTCGCCCGGTTATTATAGCTATTTTCATTATTCCTGAACATCTAATTAAAAACTAGGAAACAAGAGAAGTCAACCGGAAATTAGACTATTCGATTTGGTAAGTTTTTGATTTCGGCATAATTATTCCGAAATCCAAAATTTATCGAATCGGATATCCTTTACAGCTGTTCTCATAAATTCTGGGACAAATTAAAAATTTGTTTGTTTATTAAAATCTCTTCGGTTTTGTCACAAGAAGGATCCGTATTATTTCACCGAAATTCACTTTACAGATACTTTAATTAATGTAATTCACCGACAACTTATTTTACAGATAGACATTTTCATTTCGTTAAATTTAGATATAAACTATCGCTATACCTTAAATTAAATTCTAACCCTAATTTTACCAGTACCTGTTTTCGTTTCTCACTATTATTTTGTATTGGTGCATTGATGAATTGGAAACCATAGTTCTATTATTTCGTATCCAAAATATTGTCGAAAGGTAACCAAATAGCATGTAACTCTATCGTTCTAGCTTCATCAATTTTTAAAGTATCTACAAGTCCTAATTGATGATTTCAAATTAATTTTTTTTGATGCATGATTCAACATTTATTACAACGTTGTTTATTTATATAAGAATTTGAATCTTAATATAAAATGTACTTAAAACAAAGGAATTTAATCTAATTAATTATTTTTATCATAAAATTTTTAGGTAGTCTACATACTTGGAAGATTTTATAAACTTGTTTTGTATATTTCCATATCTTGTTTGCTTGTCAAGGTTCTAAAGATTTTTGTAAAGTATTTTAAGTATACTTTATTTTTTGTTTATTTTTTTTTTGCATTTTTCATAGCTATTCTAGGTAATGGTATGTTTCAAGAGTTTTAATAAATTTGTCATATTGTTTTTCTTGGTTTTTAATTTTTATTAAAAGATAATTTTTTGAAGTTTTTCTTTATAAGTAATTTCTATTAAGGGTTTAATTCTAGTAAAAACTTTATTTTTTTCTATTGTCAAGTTATTAATAAGTTTAATAAAAATATTTTTTTTTTTAAAATTCAGCAGTCAGACTACAACTTTATTTGAAATTTTTGTAATATAAAAACCAATGAAGGACTAATTATAAGCCTTATACACAGCAGTGTTTTCTGTTTTTTAAAGTGTAGCTTCTCCAGTTTTTATATGGATCTGTGAATGACCTGCTATAATAAGTATTCTCTTCCTTTTACTCTCT